TAAAGCCTAAGGAAGTGCTATTGATTCACATTATTCCCCAAACTAGGCTTGGACTAATTAAATAACTCTCAAAACTGTCTCAAAAGCAAAATCGATGGTTTTCTTTCCTTTTAAATAAGGTATTTTCCTAAATTATTTTCTCTGGAAATAACACTAGAGATAAATAAAATGACTACTCTGATGTGATAGGTGTATCAGGGAAGAAGAGAAGTTTAGAGAAAAAATGAAATAAGAAAGGATTTAAATTATTCAGGCCTCCTTGGTCTGCTTCTATTCTTAAGAGCCTGGTGAATGGATTGGCATACCCCATGTGGGTCCTCAACATGGTCAGAGGATGGTGTTTATTCTAGTGGATCCCCCCCGTGTGAACTGGTTTGTTTGGCTACTTTTGACCAGAACATTTGCTAGCATTTTTTTCCCAGTAAGTGTTGCATAATGCAATGTTAAGAATTTTATCTCTGTTCTCAACAACTTGTTGTGCATGTGCACTTAAAATGGATGGCTTTCATTGTACTGTCATGCAATAAATCTGTCAGGTTGAATTTCCTTTTAGTAAGTCAGAAAATGAACTGAACACTTATATATTTTATTATTTTAATTTTTTTTAAGATTTTTATTTTTAAGTAATCTCTACACCCAAGATGGGGCTTCAACTCCCAACCCCAAGATCATGAGTCACGTGCTCTACTGAGTGAGCCAGCCAGGCACCCCATGAGCACTGATTTTAAATATAAATCAAAGATCCCTCACGTAATTGTGGCTTTATGTTTTTCAAAAGAATTAAATAAAGTGGTTAATTTGTTGCTAACTGACCTTTCTTTGGTGCTTGTCCCATTTAAGCATCCAGTGCAGTGAGTGATTTCTCCTTTAATGTCCCCACGTTTCCTTCTATTTTAAAATGGTAGGGAATGCCAGTCAGGTTAAAGATACTGAAACTGAAAGGAGGAACAAGGGACGTTCTTATACTGTTCTAGTCCTGTTGATTTTCATTGCCAGTTACTTGCACATGTTCATGGAAACAGTCCTTGCCTTGCACAGTTCCCATATGCAGGACTGTCAGTCGGCACCGTATCGTGCAAAGCCAGGAAAGCTTACCTTTATATATGTATGTATGAACATATACACGAATGTGTATGGCATGTATTTATTTTTAATTTTGAATGTGCTTATTTCTCAGATATTTGAAAATGGTAAAGACACTGGAGAGATCTCTGTTTGTATCAGCAAAAAAGACCTGGAGTCTAGTAGCCCAACACAAACTGGTGATATGATGGAAAAAGTGAGTTTACTGACTGGCTGTTTGTGGCTATATGTGTCTCTCAAGTTACTTGCAGTTAATTTAGACAATTACATCTTTAAAATTGTTTTGGGGAGATTAATCATTTGCTGCTCTGTAAAAATAGATAGTCTCAAGCTTGACTTTTGAATTTCTTAGGCTCTCAGCTTTGAAACAGCATTAACTCTTGGTCTCATACTTAACAGTATCTTAACCTTCATTCTGCCTGTAGTTGGAAATCTGTCTACACTGTACTCTGGGATTGCCCTCTTGTTTACACTTTGAAAGGAAGTGACATGATATTCAGTGGAGGGTATGTTCTGGGTTGAGGGTATTTCCAAGCCCTAAACCATAAGCAACTAGCATACAGTTAGTCTTCTCCTGTGCTCATTGTGGGCATGTCCAGATGGTTTATCTTAGGCACTCTTACCTTTGCTTATTTTCCAGACAATTGGGATGTTTCTCAGGCAGAACCAATATGTTCAGGGTCTTTATTTTGGGTCTTTGTCTTGCATAAAAGGACACTGAATACCCTGTTGTTTACAAATTGGGGTTATGCACCCAAGCATACACCAGTGTTCTGGGCTCTGTTCCTTGGCCTTTGTTTATAAACTTGCTCCTTTCCCTTCAGTTCAGCACCCTCTGATTTAATCTCTCCCTGGTGGTATCCATTACCTGGCCTTTACAGTCAATCACAAGAGTTGTATAGATTTTCATCGGATCTGATCATTGGCTGGGCACAGAAGAGATAGGAAACTCTACCTGGATTGATTAGAGAGAGAAGGATGAAGAGCCTTGGTTGGTTTCTTTTTACCTTCACATCTCTGACTATACAAATCAGCATTGTATAAAAGACTTCCTAGAATCCTCTACCTATTTTCCCTCTTAATTGTATTAGAAAATTTTACTTTTTGGTTTACATTAAAATTGAAGTCAGTATTTATGTTATCTTATATAGGAAGATATTATTTTATAGAAAGTTTTTGTGTTGGCTTATGGCACATTGAAACTGACCTATGCTTTGCTTTATATGCAAGTAATTCTAGGGGAAAAACTTGAATTAGGGGCACTATAGAGCTCTTTGTTAGGGAGATTCCCTTGTGGTACCCAAGGATGACTATTCCCTTGGCACGCACTTGTCTCAATCATTAGCCTAAGATGTTTCACACTCTTCTCAGGTCCTTGAACAAATTCTTATCTTATAAAGACTTGGTGATGATAGCTTTAAAGATAAATGGGTGAAGATTATCGCAACTTTTGGTTGCCATAACCCTGCCCTAGTCAATGACCTAGAGATGAAAGGCACTGAGGCTCTGACCTCCTGTAGGCTGTTGAATGCTCATCTTTGAACACCTAAAATTCAGTCTGTCACCAAGTTGAGAAAATAGAAATTGCAATGCTTCTCCTGTGAAAATGAATTTGGTTAAGTGGTCAGGTGTTCATATCCTCCTGCCACATACTCCTATTCTCTGTGTACATATTTCTTTCTTGGATCAGGCCTTAAATCTTTTATATCTTTCCCCTTTACAAAAAAGGATGATGCTTTCAAAGCAAAATCACTGTGATTTAAAAGATGATCAGCATTACATGTTTCCTGAAATAATAGCAACTCGACCAAAAATAAGCTCAAGGGCTGAGATCACACAGAAATAAATGTAGGGCTTTGTAAAAACAATCTATAGAATTCAAAATATGTTTGTGGCTTCAACGAACAAAGCCAAAAACAATGCAGATTTTTATTGTTCTATCACCTTCCCTAATCATTATTTTTAATTCAAAGGACTTGATTAGGCTGGATGAGAAACATTAACTTCAATGAAATGAAAAATGTGTCATTGTTTTCAGCCTTTCTGATGCTTAAGGGTAAAAATCTGGTCAACATAGAGGCGATGAAAACAATGTAGAGCTGATGAAGTTAGAGATGCGGTTATTTATCTCTAATTACAACAAAGCCTAAGTCTTAGGTGTTCTATAAATATGGTTGCTGATCAAAGAAAATATTTTACCCGGACAAGACTTTATAGCCAATAGGTGAGGAAACCTGGGGTATAAGGCAGGATCGCAACTTTGCCTTCTTTCGTCTAAGCTTCGGCATTTAGCTTCTCAATATACCTTCAATGCGAATTAATAGAAAGACCAAAAAACACCCTGAACAGCAGCTAGGCAAGAAAAGGCCACAAATATATCTGCCTCCCTGCCGAGATTACAGAGTAACAAGAAACTGAGAGACATAAGAACTGACAAGGGAGAGAAGAAAAGGAAGCCTGTGACAGAAGGCTCCAGGGAGAATAGAATGATGGATAGTGTGGGGTGCAGAGCAGGAAAGAGCTTAAACATTCAAACAAAGTTGATGGATAAGGAAAAATGTCCTTTAAAATTCCATGTGCAACACAGTTAGTTAGAATTACTTTCATTTAAAGTGTGCCTTAAATTAGAAATATCTTGATAATTTAGCAACCCGGAGCGTACGACAGAAGCAAACATTGGCAATGCTATTTTTTTAAATGTAAAATGGCAGCATTTCATACTTCACATTTCAATTATGGCTTACTCACAACTTGAAAACATTTTCATAATTGAAGCAACTCACAAGCTTTTGCAAGACTCTTAATTAAACTACATTCAAGAAGGGTTCGTCTAAGTGAATCAACATAGCCTGAAAACCATGTTTATTTCTGCAATCCTATAAGTGGTGACTTGTTCTACCATTGGTTACCGGAGGTTAGTTGGGAAGGGGGAGGTTGCTGGTTGTAAACTTGAACATGCTCTGGAAGGAGCCTAACAAAATGTGCAGCTCACACAAGAAAAGCATAACCCTTATCAAAGAGGACTGTTACCATGTGTAGAAGCTAACTGCTCTTTCTGTAAGACTGTCACATCTGCTTTCAGTCCCTGTGCCAAAGGGTCAGAGCTCAATCACAAGCCTGTGGCACCCCCTGCTGGTTAAAAGCCCCTGCTCATTTTGTTACTTTACACTGAGCTAAATATTGCCATCATTTCACACTTCTTTTAACATTCTATATGAATTTAATTATCATTTGTTTGGATTCATTTGTTACAGAGTACAGATTGTTTATTATATATGTTCACATTTTACATTATTTCTTCTTCTTCTTCTTCTTCTTCTTCTTCTTCTTCTTCTCCTTCTCCTTCTCCTTCTCCTTCTCCTTCTCCTTCTCCTTCTCCTTCTTCTCCTTCTCCTTCTCCTTCTCCTTCTTCTTCATTATTTTCCCCCACCACCAGCTACTTCTCAAGATCCATCAGAGGCTTCAAGGATCTCCCACCAACCCACTAGGCCTCAATTTTTCTTCAATCCGGCTTTTTAATGAGCATGGTCAAGAAATTAAGAATCCACTTTTGCTGAAGAATGAACAAAAAATTTGGGTCTCTTACGGTAAAGCATACAGGTAGGAACAAGGTGTTTATTTTCTGTCTGTCCTCAATCTTTCCAGCGGCAAGCTAATTTAAAAGGGGAGTTGAGAAGCCAAGTACTACCCTTTGTGAAATTTTTTTTGAAATTCTGCATTCCAATAAAATTTCCAGGGTGTTTTTTGTGAGACAGTATTGTTTGTGAGATATGACATCTCTCTCTCTCTCTCTCCTTCTCTCTCTCTCCCTCCCTCTCTCTCTCTCTCTCTCTCTGACTTTCTGTCTTAATGCCTTGTCATAGTTCTTGAAGTCTGCCTGTCAGCACAGCAAGCGGGATTTGTTCATGTCTGAGTAGTCACCTTAATGATAGCAGATGGAAACGCCACGGGGGGCCAAAGCCCATCACACTGTCATTGTCGCACACTGCCCTGACCTGCTTCCACTCCTCTATTTTTTTGTCCCTTTTTAAAGGAGAAATGGATGGTAATTGAAAAGGATCTTAAGCAAGATTTATGAAGCTGTGGACAACATGATTCCCCACTATCTCTCTATGTTTTCACAAATAAAGTCTTAACCTTTTAAGCACCAATGACAGGACAGCTAAAGATAAATTGGTAAAGCTTGTAAGCCCTATCCTATCAAAGTTATATTCCTCAAAAGCGCCTTACATTATCCCACAATAATTACTGGTTATTGCTGAGCATTGTGTAAATTTTTGTAGATTGGTAAATTCCTGCATAAAATTATCTGTGTTTCTGGAAAAAGAAAAAGGCTGCAGTCTACAGGCACTGATGAGCTGGGCTGTTGTGTGGAATATCTTAGAAATTTATGCATATTTTGACAGGACACATCCAGATGAACTCTGAAACTGCTTGTCAGGAAACTTAAACACACTTTTCTGCCTATTTAAAAAAATGTTAAGCCTTTACTTATTTGAATAAGGGAAATAGAGGAAAATAATTTTTCCTATCAGGTGTAATTGATCATATATTAATTATAATAACAATAGCGTAGACAGACTAGGAGCCGATTGGGTTTGCTATATATTCTAATAGTCAAAATTGCAAATACTGAAATAAATCTACCCAGAAATTCGTGAAGGTTTTGGAAGAAGTTGGTTGCATTAGTTGTGGGTAGCATATTATAAAATTCTATTTCTTCTCTCCTAGTAGAGTAAAATTAAAATGCTTAATAATTTCTTATGCTGTGTAGTGTATAGAATTAAAAATATATGTAAGGAGTGATGTTTTCTTCCATAGACAGATTTCAAAATATAATTTAATTACACATTAGAATTGTTTTTTACAATGATAGAACAGCGATGAATTTTATAGTGTCCAGGATTCTTGAATAATTTAGCAAGCTCTTCCAATGACAAGGAAAGGCTTTACTAAAATGTATGTCTAATAATTTCTTCTTAAGTAGTATTATTAAACTGAAAACAATGACTAATTTTGGTGTTTTTAATGATGTTTGTTATTTTAATAAGATCAACCAGCACACTTGTTCTTGGTTAATTGAATCATATTTATAGTATAACTAGTAAAATTCGAAGTATCTAGAATACCCTAAAATCACCTGAGGATGGTAGCTGGAAGAACTCATAAGTGTATATTTGTTTATATGTCATTGTTATTTTAATAGGATAATATTTTTTTTCTGGTTTTGATCCCAATATAAAGCACTAGGGAACAATTGTAGCATTGTGCTACCTTTGGAATTTCTAAAATTTATGTCTAAAAGTTATTTCCTAGATCTAGTTTGAAATATATTAAGACAATGTGCAATATGTACTAAGTAAATGAAATTCATTTTTAGACAGTAATGCTAATGTGTCTAATATATGTTGATATGTGGAGTTAGTTTGCTGAATTATAAAAAGATGATTTTGCCAGTATCTGCTTTTATTTTGAGTCTTGTAATTATTTTTTTTTCCCAATTTTTATTTTGGACAAGATGCAGTCTACAGAAAACTTGAAAAGTAGTACAATGAATACATATATATCCTTCACCTGTGTTCACGAGTTTAAAAAGTTGCCTTTTATATCTCCCTTCTCTCTCTTTTGAGAGGTTTGAGATTATTTGCAGACAACCATTAAAGTTTCAGTCATAAATGCTCCCAGTCATGTAACTGAAGAATAATACAATGTTCTTTTATGTCACCACATAGTAATAACTAGCACAGTCAGCAATTATGTAATTCATCTAATGTGCAATCTATGTTTAATCTACCCAAAATGTGCTTTAGAGTTTTTTGTGGTCCAGGATCCCAATAAGATTCATGCATAGCATCTAGTTATTTTCTCTAGTTCTCTTTAATCTAGAATATTCTCTCACCTTTGTTTTGCTTTTCATGACATTGAATTTTTTTTTTTTTTTGAAGAGTTCAGGCACTATTCTTGTAGGATGTCCCACATTCTGGATTTATCTGCATGTTTTCTCACGATTAGATTCAATTTAAAAAATTTTGACAACCCTACACAGGTGATGCGGTTGAGTCCTATAGTTATGAAGTTAAATATCAAGTCTTTGTCACCAATTGAGACAAAAATGGCTCATGGATGACATAATGCCAGTTGCCATTGTTTTTATTTAAGACGTTTCTCATTTGATTTTAATTCTCTTATAATTAAATTACTCTAAAACAAAATAACTAACAGTATGTAATATGGAAAATGAAATCAGCCTAGCATTTAGTGTGCTTATAAAAAATAGTAGTTCATAGCCAAATATTAAGAATTAGTTTAATTATCTTCTCCAGAGAATATTAATGGTGTGTTGCATTGTGTGAACGATAATTGCTTGTTTTTCTCAACTAAATACTTTGCTTTTATTATTGAAATTATTTTTAAAAATTACATGTGTTGCAACTGTCCTTGACATATTATCAATCAGCCAAATAAACTAAAATGTGCATTTCAGGTATCAGTATAAGATACCAACTGTAGTGCTTTATAATAGGAAATTCACTTTTGTGGACTTTATTACTCACTGATATTATAGGTTTTATTGTTTACTTGTGCTCAAATTTCAGTGTTTGTATAATTTTGCAGATCACTTTGATGTTTTTTTTCCCATTTTTCAGATCTCCACTAAGCCCTGTTTTGAGTCTGACCTTTGACCAGGTGACTGCATTTGACAGAGATGGCATTACAGTTGCATATAAAACCTTCTTGGATCCTAATGCTGTTCTGCTACCTGGATGTGACAAGTAAATTAACATGTGCTTGGTTAAAGTAATCTGTATTACCTAATTCAGATTTCCCAGAGTGAGAGATTGAAACACTGAAAGACGTTCTCTAATTGTCTTAATAAGCAATTGTGTATTTTTTTTGACTTATTACATGATGTAATGAGCTCATGTCTAAAAAGACTTATCAGTAACTTTTCTTAAGTTTTAAAAAACCATATGAAGCAATGAGCGGACTATAGTTTCTGCTTTGCAGAGGTAACAATTTTATTTGAAATGTAAAAACTGTTTTTAGTGGTTTCTAAATTAAGAGTTTTGAATGGAATCATTAAAATATTAAATAATATGTTTTCTTGTGGGAGTGTTTGTATTTAAGCATCTCATTTGATGATGATGAGAACAGAAGCAATTGAGAACAGAAGCAATATGCTAGAGAAATGGTGGGGTGGTGGCAACACAGGAGGTAGAAGATTTGAGCTTCTAGCCCCATCTCTGTTCATGATTGTACATGGGCGGGTGGGTGTCAGCTTCTTATCTATAAATAATAAAACCCAGTATTTACTAAGTGTTGACCACAGTTCTAAATGAATTGGGTAAGGATTTATTTAATCCTCAAAACAATTATTTTAATACCATCATTACCTTATCTCACTATTACTCCATTTTATAGAGACAGAAACTGAGGCACAGAGAGGCAGAGTAATTTGTCCATTCACACATTGGTACATGGTAGAGCCAGGATTCTAAAACAGATTGTCTTTTTTAAGAACTGTGGGCTTGGGGTGGCTCGGTTTGGTGACAGATTCTTGATTTTGGCTCAAGTCATGATCTCATGTTTCATGTGATTGAGCCCCACATTGGGCTCTGTGCTGGTCGTGCTGGTATTCTCTCTCTCCCCCCTTCTCTCTGCCCTTTCTCTGTTCATGCTGTCTCTCAAAATAAATAAATAAACATTAAAAAAAAAAGAACTGAAGGCTTACCCACTGTCTAGCACTGTCCAATAGAACTTGCTATGATGATAGAAGCATATGTTGTAATTATTGAGCACTTAAAATGTCACTAATGTGACTGAATTTTTAATTTTGTTTAAATTATACTGATTAAAAATGTTTAATATTTATTTATTCATTTTGAGAAAGGAGGGGCAGAGAAAGAGGGGAGAGAGGAGAGAGAGAATACCAAGTGGGCTCCATGCTGTCAGCACAGAGCCTGATGCAGAGCTTGATCCCACAAACCGTGAAATCATGACCTGAGCTGAAACCAAGAGTCCTATGCTTAACTGACTGAGCCACCCAGGTGCCCCTAAATTATACTAATTCTAATTTAAATAGGTATATATGATGAGTGGCTACTGTATTTGACACTGATAGTGTGTTAGATTAGGTGATCTCTCTGTAAGGTCCCATCTATATTTTATATTTTGTAATTTAACAAATTATAGTGTCCTTAATATACAGGTGAAAAGGTTATAGAGGGAAAATCCAGAGGACCAGAAGCAGTCTGATGAGGTCACTCAATCCAGCTAGTGTCAACCTACTGCTAAACATGTCTACAAAGATGAATTCTTTGGTCTTCTTTGGTTGTTTAAACAACTCTATCCCCCAGTGACTGCCTGCACTTTCCAGGCAAGATGAGAATCTGTTTTGTCTTCTTTTTCTTTATAGATAGAAAATTGGGGCGCCTGGGTGGCGCAGTCGGTTAAGCGTCCGACTTCAGCCAGGTCACGATCTCGCAGTCCGTGAGTTCGAGCCCCGCGTCAGGCTCTGGGCTGATGGCTCAGAGCCTGGAGCCTGTTTCCGGTTCTGTGTCTCCCTCTCTCTCTGCCCCTTCCCCGTTCATGCTCTGTCTCTCTCTGTCCCAAAAAAATAAATAAACGTTGAAAAAAAAAAAATTTAAAAAAAAAAAAAAAAAGAAAATAACGTATCAGCATTTCTTTTTATAAGCATTTCCATTTATAAGAAGATGTATTTCTTGTGCCACAATCTTTCCCCAAGCTACTAAATTTGCCCAGACCCTTTCCCTTCAAGTTTTAGCAAGGAGTTTAATTTTCAATTCACGTATTCCTTCTTAATTTCCCTTTCCTGGGTGCAATGAGTACCGTTTTACTGAATGGTTTTTAAGTTAGATCTAGGTCACTAAGCATAACAATATGAAACTGCCCTTAGTGCAAGCAAACTTATCTGGAGACAATTTACATAATTTTTGGATTCCATTTGAATTTTCTTTCTATACTCTAATGTGCATTATTTGAAATCTTAATAATCATACTCTAATTTATAGTTCTCAGGGTATTGGAAAAAATACTATTAACAGCCCCAGTACTGGTTTCTGTTGAATAACATGCTATGTGATGTATCTTAGCATATCAGTGTTGAGCCTGATAATTTTCTTTAGAATTAGGTTTGGTTTACTTTTAAAATAAGAATGGCTGAAGTAAGAATGAAACCCAGTTACTCCAGTTCGTGGCTTGTCCATGTGCTCATTAGACTGTACTGCCTCTTAAGACTGTCTAAAAATTACCAAAATAATGTGCTTTACACATCCACGCTAAGTATAAAAAAATCTGTTATTATTCGTAGTCCATTGTATTTAGAATAAAATTTAACAGTGAAGATGGTGCCCACTGTGAGTGATTCTGTAAGATTAAAAATCATTTTTTTTATTTCTCTGTTCTATTAATCATTAATTAGGCGTGGGATCCCTCAGTATCATAAATAATTGCAAGATACAAACTTTAAGTCTCCCTTTTCCCAGGTATGGATAACAAAACACATTACAAATTTCTGTTTAAAAAGATTATGGACTAAACATTTGTTTTTCTCTCCCCTGTAGAGTATAAGACATATAAGTTATCATACTAGTAGATTAAAGAGTATTGTAATTAAGTACATATTATTTTAACAAAAATAAATATTTTACTTTTCTTAGTTGGGAAGTTTGTGAAGGATTCCCAGTTAATTTCAATGGTACCAGTCAACAGATACCTGATCAATTTGAAAAGGTGGACTTGGAGAACCATTTCCTACAGAACAAGGTCAGAATTATTTATTGTACTTAATGAAGGTATTTTATGTAGTGGATTGTCATTTGATACATGGTGACTGAGTGGATTTTGTGAAAGTTTTTGAAAAGTTTCAAGTATTTTACAAATGTTGGGGCATTATTCTCTATTTCCTGTTAATTAAGCACTTTTAAAACTGAACCAATATATAGTATTCCTACTAGAAAAATTTTTACCTGGATTATGTCACTTAAGTACTATTGCTTAACATATTTTCTTTCTATCTACTGTATTAATAAGTTGGCATTGTTTTAAAAACTTTAAGATGGTAACAAGGATTTTATCTATTTGCTCTGTGGATCAATGTATTTAAGGAATAAGAGTTCTTTGGAAACCCACTCATGACAGTCCAATCCAAAAAGTCTATGTATTAATTTACACTTAGAAATTTCTCATGCCAGTAAAGAATTTTCTTCTCCAACTGAGCTATGAAAGGTCTTTTAACAGATATATTTTTTAATGTTTTATTTATTGTTTTTGAAAGAGAGAGAGAGAGAACGTGAGCAGGGGAGGGTCAGAGAGAGAGGGAAACACAGAATCTGAAGCAGGCTCTGGGCTCTGTGCCAACAGCTCAGAGCCTGATATGGGGCTTGAACCCACAAATCATGAGATCATGACCTGAGCCAGAGTTGAACGCTTAACTGACTGAGCCACCCTGGTACCCCTCCACATTTAATTTTTTACTGCCTGCAAATTTAACTGTGAATAGCCTATGGTTAACTGGAAACCTCACCAATAACATAAAGTCTATAAACACGTATTTTATATATTGTATGCAATATGTACTGTATTATCTACAGTAAGCTGGAAAAAAGAGAATGTTATTAAGAAAATCATAGTGTAAGAGAAAATACATTTACAATACTCTGCTATATCAAAGAACCGCATGTAAGCGGACCCACGCAGTTCAAGTCTGTGTTATTCCAGGGTCAACTGTATTTCTAATCCTGTTAGATTTTGAGCAAATGTAGAACATAAATGCAACTAAGAATTAATGCCTTTTGTATTTTATATTTATCTGATTTATTTACCATAGTTCTGATCCTGTTGGCATTGCTTTTTAGGTTTTTGCTGTGATATTATTTCCTGTTCAAAAAACTTGTATCCCTGGTAGTTGCCTACTGAAATTCCAAATCCTTATCAGGCCTTCATTGATCTCCATGGATCTCCTCTAATCCACCTCTACTCTCAACTTGCCTTCCCAATCTTCTCTTCAATCTTCTCTTCTTGATCTTTGTACCCGAAACTACAGTTAGAGCTAATATATTGTGCCCCATAATATGTTTCTCACTTTGGTACTCTTGTATCATGGCCTGTGTTGTTTGCCTCGGATATACGTCCCCCCACCACTACACCATTACCATTCCTTGCTTTTTTAAGGCTTTATTCAACTCCCTCTTCTTCCAAGAAGTTTTCTCAGGTCCTCCAGCAAGAATGAACCTCATATTATTGAACTTCCTTTTTGTCCTTAGAGTTGTGTTTTGGTATAGTCATTTGTTTTTATTCCTTTCTCTTACACTAAATTGAGAATTCTTTGGGCACAGACATTATGTCTCACTCATCTTTGTATTTGTGAATTCTAGGACAGATTTTGAATGTAAGGCAGGTGCACAATACATTTTTGATGAATGATTTTTAAAATTTAGCTACATCTATCTTTCAAGGCTCAATATTTGCTAATATGTTCCTCATGTGTTATCCAAGCCTGATTGTTCATTTGTTGTTTTCTGAAAGTACTGCATGATTTCTGTTATTAGGCCCATGTGGATCCCTGGAATTCAACCTCTCTTTCTTTGTCACTACCCACCAGCCTTCTTTAACATCCTTATGCCATTTTCTAACACAGTGTCTGACATACAGCTGGCATTCTTTAAAGGCTTCCTGAAATTCTGCCTATCATTCTAGTCTTACCTGATTTGTGCCTGTTTCATGAAATCTTTCTTTACTGACCTTCATCTCCATACTAGATATGATGTTTCTGGACTCACATCCTTGTTGCATCCATTCTATGCCACTCATAATGAGCTTGAACTTGATGCTGTTCCTATCAAGCATTTTTTGCATGGTTCAAAGTCAACTAGTGCTCCAAGTATGATATGAACACATATCAGGTCACATTGGGGAAGAAAAGGAAGAATGCTAGATTCCACTGAGAATCTAATCAGATCATGAAGGGTCTTAAATTCATTGTTAGAGATTCTGGATATTGATCTGTAGAAAACAAGGAGCTATTGGAAATATTCAAACACAGGCAAGATCTGATTTAATGTTGTGTTAGGAATAACTCAGGAGGTCCTTTTTTTTTATCCTCCCTGCTGGAATAGATCTTTCTCAAGGGCAAAGGGCATCCTGGTCATCCTTGTCATTACTGCAATATCTAGATATTCAGTTAGCTAGATGGAATTGAATTCACTGGTTAATTAACTCATTCAACAGAAACCAGCTCAAATCTGAAAAAAAAAAAAAAGAAAAAGAAAAGGATATCAAAGAGCTATCAGAGGAAAATAACTCAAAGGAGGCTTCTTTTTTTGATTTTATGCCAGTGTAGGACTTGAAAAGATAACTATATTTTATAATGTTAAAAAATGATGGGGCGCCTGGGTGGCGCAGTCGGTTAAGCGTCCGACTTCAGCCAGGTCACGATCTCGCGGTCTGTGAGTTCGAGCCCCACGTCAGGCTCTGGGCTGATGGCTCAGAGCCTGGAGCCTGTTTCCGATTCTGTGTCTCCCTCTCTCTCTGCCCCTCCCCCGTTCATGCTCTGTCTCTCTCTGTCCCAAAAATAAAATAAAATAAAACGTTGAAAAAAAAAATAAATAAAAAATGAGAGAATAACAATCCACTTATTTCGTCATTATTAGCTGGTTTTAATGATTCAGTGAAAAAGAGAAAACTCATCTTAAATAAAAGTTTGTACACTATCATTTTTTAGAAGAAGAAATTGGTTTTGAATAAAATTTTAGTCCAACCAAAATAGTAGTATAAGAAATCAACAATTTGATAAATTGGCTAGTAAAAAAGAAGCTTTCAAAGAAAAATGGCCCTCCCTTAGCTATGAAATCTTACAATCCTTTCAGAAAAGCATCTCCAATTATATACAGAGAGGTGATCAGTGCATTGGAAATAGTAATTTAATAACCTGAAATCGAGCACTTTTAAAGAGGGATTCTAGCAGAGGTGATAGATATCCATAGGGCCTTTTATTGTAGAATCTTGATGCTCATTGTGGTAAAGAAGACACTAAGAGGATTACAACAGGGGTAGAGAGAGGGAGGCAAAAGCCGATATTCTTGATGCATACGTTTTAAAATTGGCTTGAGAAAGAGATACCAGTGCCCAACCCCTCACTGTTCTTTTAAATCTCTTATTGACAAGTAAAACCTTTCCTACGGAGAAAAATTTGGAACATATAATCCCTATTAGTAATGTGGGAGATAGATATAACCCTGACAATTACAACCTGTTGCTCTTTTATCCATTTCAAAAGATTTGGAATCTACCGCAAATTGACAGTTTGGCAAATACATCTTTCAACAGTTCTCTATTGTTACCTAACTTGGCAACATTTTTATATTGCTTCAGTTTAAGGGCAATAAAATTGAATATTTCCATGCACTGGATGAGATTTAAACTTCATGGTAGTTAATATAAAAGAAAAAAACAGAACATTTCATGAGAGGAATAGTTTTAGTAATACCTGAACGTGGGAAAAAATAGCAGAAAAAATGGACTCCAGTATTTGGCAGGTAATATATTCCGCCAAAATGGAAAGGAAACACATTTTGATCCTAGCCTTTTGGTATAATCAGACTTTAGTAGGACATTAGTGGCAACTTTTTGGGGAAATAGTGAGAACAATGCCAAATTATGAATTTAGAATTGTGGCATACTAGTTACAAGTTATAAACTTACAACTTATGAATCAGCAGTCATGGATGCTAACAGAATAAATTATTCTATATGTCACAAGGAGGCTGGGGGAAAAAATGAACACTTTTTTTACTGTCCTATTTCTTTGCAGAGCAAGTCCTTGAAAAATAATGTTTTCTACAAATAATTGATACTGAGGAAAATACAAAATTTTATTTTTAATTTTGAACTGGTTGCCATTAGAATAAGACAGTGAACTTTAATAAAATCCTGAATCCCTTCCTTATTTTTAGACCAATATTTGGAACCTATTGGAGGACTGCATATTTACATCTTACATGTTTGATTGCATAATTTTGTACTCACTTATATTTTCTGCCTTTAGACTTCTCCAGGTCTTGGCCTTTGAGGTGGGTGTATTGATCAGCTATAGTTTTAGAGAATGAAAGCAATAAGAATGAACATCAGGGATGTGAGGAAAGAGATGTTATAGCATTTCTTATAGTTGTGATTTTAATTTGTGTATCATTTTTTTAATTTGGCCCTACATTCACTATCAAAAATGAAAAATTTTATAACATTTCTATGTAGTAAAGAAAAAAAATTGTTCAGAATAAAGAGCTTCTCTTTTCAAGAAAAATTTCATTGTCTTACATCTTATTCCTCAGTAGATCTATAAGTAAGACCATAAGTGGTTCTCTTATTATTTTGAATTTTCACAGGAACATTGAAGGCTACTCCACCTTCACTAGTGATTTGGAAAAAGAAAATTAAACAAGAAGTTTTAATTGGCCCAGAAAATGCATGCATCATTTTTAAAATCACTGGCAGCTTCCATATCAGCACAGTTTATTCAGACAACCAAAATCATAATGGTCATTTAGAGGGAGATACATCTATCTATCTATCTATCTATCTATCTATCTATCTATCTATCTATCTGTCTATCTATGTATCTATCTATGGCGAGAGAGAGAGATTCAAAACAAAGAAGCAGTTTCCTACTGACATATGTGATGGTATGTATTTAGAAAACAGTCTCAACATAAATGCTGTTATATGCATACGTGTATATGTGCAAGCACACACATGTATACCATGTTGCAGGTTGTCAGAGCACTTTTATGAATTGCAGTTTTCAGTTTTTATTTTCCCCACCTTCATAAATGTCCGGTCTAAAGCTAAACTATCCAATTAAACTAAAAAGAGAAAAGAAGGCGAAGTCACAAATTGAAATTTAATGGCTATTGTCAATTTTAAACGTATCAGAACCCCTCTCTTGGCAAGATTTTTTTCTTTTAATAACAGGCAATGAAGCTGAGTGAGTGGGTCTGGCTGTGTCTGGTCTATGTAGAATCACTTGGGAACTGTCCAGCAAAATATCTCTCGAAGAACAGCATGGTGTTAATACTAGGTGCCAACCCAAGACAGACACAAAGGACCCCTTCGCTCTTCACCAATAAGCCAACTGTTAAAAGATTAAACCATGTTGTGGAGATAACAAGAATTTAGGCGCTGGCAGCAGGTGCTGTACAAAGAAGCAGTTGGCAGTACGGTTCTTCTGTCTGACTAATTCCAGTCAAAACAATCTTCTTCCCAGTTGCAGAGGAGAGTTTGGAGTGTGATGGCAACTTGGAGTTAGGAGGTTGAGTAAGAGTGCTACTTTAAATGCTGAGTCCTGTGGCGGGTGGATTAGTAGAATATAGTTTGTCATTGTTCAGAAACTGTGGGGGATTCCCCTCCAGAATCCAGCCACTACTGGCTAACTCGGGAATACACAATCAAAGAGCTGCAAGTCAAATCTGGTTATGTAGTGTGGTTGCTGTATTTTTAAAATTTTATTTTCACTTATGGGACTCAGAAGACATTTTATTCTCTTGAGGGGTAACTATCTTCCATTATAGAATAATTGTCAAATATATTAGCTATACCCTTTTGCTATTGCCTGATTGCATTTGTAAATATTACCTTTTAAATTATCATTTAATTTTTGTATTTTAAGAATCAGTTGCTACTCAACAAATATCTAGTATTAGCACAGATTTAGAATATGCTTTTTAGTGTTAGAAAATAACTTAAATTGTTATTGAAGCACCATCATTTATTTGGCTTAAAGCAAAACTGACATATTCCCATAATCCTATACAAACAAATATTGGTACTTAAAAATTTAATATGATTACTCAGGAAAAGTGATCATATAAGTTAGTGGAAAGTTTACTAAATATTTAGTGATATACAGGTGATGTGAATGTCTATTAATTTTACAATCAAGTCTGGGTGAGAAACGCTAGAAGGTATATCATATGTTTGATGTATGTAATCTGATAACAAATATGGGAAGCACAGATACTGTGTGTTACCAGTTGGTCCCCTCCTATCCATCCTCACAACTATCACTAAATTCTCAACTCATATCCCTTTATTCTAAGGAGATTGTGGAGCCTTTTAACTGCTCTCCTTTGATGTCCCCATTCTGCAATCCATTATTTCTGCCCGTGTGTGTGTGTATGTATGTGTGTGTGTGTGTGTGTGTGTGTGTGTGTGTGTTATTGACTCTTCTGTTACAAGTTTCTCTAGGGCAGGAAAAATACTGTATCATATCCCACACCACACAGTCTAGTGCCTTGCATATCAGAGCTGATGCGCAACAAATATTAATTGAATTGAATTAAATGGAATTGAGCACTATTGTTTCCAAAGAGACCTTCTCAATCAGAAACATAATGTCTTAGGATAACCCATTTTGGGTGAGTGTGTTGAAGAGGGTGAACTTTCAGACTGTGAGTTTAACAATGCGTACTTCTTTTCATGGTATAGGCGGATCCCAATATTGTCCTTCATGCCTCTGTTTCCATCAGAAAGTGGAGCTCCTCAAGCAGGGAAGTAAGCAGTGGAAGTCAGATGGCTCCATCAACCCTGTGGCCTGCAGCTAGTGTTTGGCTGATCACGAAGGTACCCAAAAGTGTCTGCTCTCGCTGAGTGACTTCCCATGCTCCCTGATCACAGTGCATCTCTAGATCCTGGTGCCTTCATGCACATAAGCATGCAAGTGAAAGCATGATAAATTGTTGACTCTTATGAATGCTACCTCTCTGCCCTTGGTGTGTCTGGTGCAGAGGGCTTCTGTAGATCCCCATGTGGGCATTCAATCCACTTTCAGATGTGGTGGTTAGTTCATATGCAGAGTGTATTTAAACTCAGCTTAGAGCTTATGTATAGTCCACAGATTCACCATTTTTATGAGATTTGTGTGATGTCATTTAGTTCCACTCCTTCATCTACATTGCTGAGCTTCATGGAGCCTGGTGGATTAGCACTGTATAATGATAGTGTATGGTCTTCATAAGGATAATTTTAAGAGAAATCCCTGAGTATAAAATGTGAACAATGACTAACACATTTTATACCTATGTATTGACACTATTTAAATTTTTTAACTTTACTATTACTGGATCTGATTTAAATTGAGAACATGTAACTGCCCTCCCCTCTCCTCTTACTATTGAAATATGTTTTGTAATTGCCATCAAATATTTATGCCCATAAAGAGATGGTGCAGCTTTTATCTACCCTTCTTTTGTCTTCTTTTGCCCCCTCGCTATAGATTATTTTGGCCTTTTCTTAGCACTTCCATGGGTGCAGAGTCACTCAGGCAAGCTTGCTGGTACTGTGTTGGAGTCGGGGGGGGGGGCGGGGGATTGAAACAATTTTCTCAAATGAAATTTGGGATTGCTCTGAATGTTAATTTTTGATTCTCTGAGACCTAAAAACAAATGTATAGAGCAATTAAGATACAAAGGAACCAAGAAATATTCATTTCATATATCAAGGCAGAATGAGATTAGATGAGATATTTCCTCAATCTACTTCCAACTTGGAAACCCCCTTTTAAGTTGTATTTTGCTTCAGGTTTAATAACAATATTTGCCATTTTGTTAAACATCTGCTATATGTTAGGCATCTTCTACATATTTATTATCTTATTTAATCTCATACATTATACAGCTGAATAAACTAAGACTAGTAAGTAGCAGAGGAAAGATTCTTGGTCTGTCTGACTTCAAAACGTATGCCTTTTTACTGTAATAGAGAATGGTGCTCTATATTTGATCAATTTATAGAAGTGTTTTGGTTTTAGCATTGCCACTGAACCCTTGTGTGACCTCAGGTAAGCCACAACTGTATCTGGGCTTCAGTCTTATCTGAAAAGAGTTGGACCAGTTGGTATGGACAGTTCTTTTCTAGACCTCAGATTCTGTAATTCCATGGTATCTGTTTATAGAATTTTATGATAGCAAAAAACCTGTACTTGTCTAAAATTTCCTCAAAAATAATTGAAATGCTTACTAAAAAGAGTATGGATTTTGGAGTTAGATAGATTGGAATTAGAATCCTTTTTATTCTTGAGACCTTGAGAAAGTTACTTAGCTGCACAGAACCACTGTTTCCTTCTCTATAAAATAGTCTTATCTATCTTGCACAGTTGCTATGATAATTAATAAGAAAGCATGTGTGAAATTCAAGCGTAGTGTTTGGTATACAGAAAGTGCTTAACAAATGTTTCTTTTTCCCCATCCAAAGCAGGTTTCTTTCAATATAGACAAACATGTTCAAATGAGGATTCAATCCAGTGCTTACTAAAACCAAAATTTTAAAGAATACTTTTCCCAAGTTATCATCTGTTTTTTTTTTTTTTTTTTACCACACAGCAAAACCATGAGAAATAAAAGTTACATGCTAAATATAAAACAAGTTTGAAAATCTTTTTAGATTGAATGATCTCTCCCTTTTTTCAAAATATGTATTTTACCTGTTAGGATAGACAATTTTGCATGCCAGAAACCCTTAGTGGTTGTCACTCATTTAAAATGTTTTGTTCAATAAATTTCATATAAATAAAAAAAAAATTAAAAATAAAATAAAATAAAATAAAATAAAATAAAATAAAATAAAATGTGTTGTTGACGTCGCTCCTCATCAGGGAAATACAAATCAAAACCACACTCA